TGATAATTTCTGACCTTTTCCAGCTGCCATCAGTCACTTGGTTTATTTTGTATTCTACCAAATCTGACAGCAGACAGAAGTGTGTTGCTCAAACAAAAAACAATTGTTTCCTGTAAAAGACATTACTGAAACACAGTATTAAATAAACAATTTCCATAGAAATTTATCCCACTTGAGATGTTGATTAAGAAACATCTGTTGATCAGGCTTACTAAGCAACATTTGAAACACATTTGAACACATATGTGCACTGAAAAACGGACAGCCCATGTAATTTGCAATAAAGTCTTTCCTAGTGTTCCTCATTAACATTATTTAGCTTAATTAAAACAATCTCTCAAGATGTGCTTCTATTGTCTATTATAGGTGACATACTGGGATTTGATTCCTAACCACAGGAAAACACATGAATATACTTAGCTAACACTTCGAAGTGGTCTTAAGGCATGAAAAAAATAGCGCTTAACTATCTTTAGATGAAGTTTGACAGATAGTAGGAATGTGCATTCTCTTCTTGATTTAAATGCAAAGTCTCCATATGCAAAATGAACAGGACCCAAGAATACCAACGCAATCTTTACTAAATACACCACTGATGCTATATAAGTATTTAGGGAAATAAGATATTCTGTGTCATAAGGCATTTTTATTAGATATAAAATTAAAATCAGCAGAAAAGGAGGAATTAAAGAAGAGAAATTATTTGCTTGCTTTTAAATAGGACCCAGAGAATTAGTGGCCTAAGATGACCAAGTTTCCCTGTCCAGTTTCCAGCTTCTGAAGGCACCATAACATATAGTGCTCTCCAGGAACTTACTGTTTTCCATCTTAAGTGGGATTTTTGTCCTACTGCTTCCACCGTGTTCATTTCCCAACTTCAAATCTCTACGTTCTATGTTCTCTGCATTATTTTCTATATAACAAGGTGCAAGTTTAGGTACAGGTTTGTTTCCTATATCTTTGTGACAACAGAAAGTTTCTGGCCTGACACTTAACTGTTAGTCTATGATATACCTTGCAAAAATATTTGTGGTACTAGGAAAACCATACTTTTGTATGCAAGGTATCACAGTAAGCTATCATGTGACGTGGTAAGCTACCCTGGAGCAATCACCATTAACATCTTCCAGAGGAAAAATAATTGCTACGCATTTCACTCAGAGAGAAGAAGGACAGCCAGGAAAAGTGAATTGACTTAAATACAAAAGAGAACCATCCAAAACACTATTTTTTTCCCTATATTATTTTTTTAGAATTTCAAATATTAATACTACTTTTATAGTTCTCTTTCCACTTTATTTTGCAGCACTGAGGACACTTCAGAAAACAGTCACAATTAAGCAACACTTACATGCATGTGTATATGCATTTATGAAAACATGTGTCTTTATCTATTCTAATCAAACTAGGAAATTTCACTCCTCTAGCCCCTCTCTGTCCTCTAAGCTTGTAGACTGGCATCCTTTCACACATCTTTTACTAGCCTCTTCTCACCATTGCTGCCTTTGGTTACAGTCACTTATGATAACACAGACAGCTAAGCAAGTAGAAGGTCTAAAAGAATTCCTATATCAGTAATTAAATGTCATCTGAGGCCTGATAATATGACCAGATTCTTTAACTATCTGTACCATAATATCCTCTGAGCTTCAGCTCAAGGTGGCTCCAGTTGCTCACTTTAACAGTATGCATTCAGTTGGAAATTCACTACAGAAAACACACTGTCCTGGAATTTGAGTATAGCAACTATCCAACTGGTTTTGAATGAGATACAGTAAGGGAATTTAACTAAGGTGGGGTGATAAAGAATGTACTGGGAGATGAAAAATATTCCACGGAAGGTTATGAGAAAAACCTCAGAGCACTAGAATCAAAATTGAAGAGCAGCTGAAATTCATAGAAGAAGGAGAGAACAAGAGATGGAGAGAAACATATAATGGTAGAAGTTACACATGCACATAAAACCACAAAAGAGATTCTGATACTTTTTTTAATCTTGTGCTTTTAGCCTGGACCAAAGTCCTTACTAACTTGGTTGCTTTGCTTACAAAAGGCCACACACATATACTTCCATCAATCTGCTCTATGCACACTAAATTCATCTCTGATCCCAGGATATTTAATAAAACATTTCTGAAGCCAAGTACACAATCCACCCTGCAAAAAAATGTATAAAAACTGATGATTGTTGAACAAAGTATGGATATCAAAATTATCCAGCGTCAACTCCAGAAAGGACTTTCAACACACTTCTCACAGGGAAAGCTTAATTTAGTATCTCATCTGAACAGATAAAGAGAATTCTCAAATATAGCAAAGCAAATACGAAGGAAACAAAAAACTAATTATTTTGTAATAGATCTATTTAAAAGTTAAAAAAAATTTGTTTTTCCCAGTTCAAGGTATATTTAACATGCAAATAAGCATTGCCAGAGTGCAGAAAAAACATTTCAGATTCAAATTTGAACAGTTAACAAGACACTTAAATCTATATTTATGGCAAGGTCTTAAATGAATGCTTTACAAAATACCATCCTAGAACTCCAATTCTAAATTGAACCATTAAAATACATAACAAAACACATATCTAAAATCTTTACTGTGCCCTTTTTCAAGACTGACACTCAAGGGATCAATGAAATTTGTAAAAAAATAAGAACATGCACTATTCTAAAGTAGGAGGCACTACCCTTTCTTGAGAGCACTGCAAAGACACATTTTTCCTGTGGAATATCGGAAAAAAAATTATCAAAATTGGTGACGAAGCATTTAGTAGAATGCCAAGTCAGACATGAGGGCAATGGAAGCATATTTTCCCTTTTCTCCTGCTTTAAAATGAGCACGCTACTGTCTTCCAGAGAGTGATGAGTAAGCTTTAGTTTTAAAACCATTGTAATGTGAGGGGCAGGCATACAACACAAAGTTTTGGTATGTCACTCAAAATGCCTCGCTCATGCATGCTGAAGAAACAACACACAGGAAATGATCAAGCATGAGAGGTAGGAGAAAAAAGATAGAGCACCCACTGCCAAGTCTAAGATCAAGGAAGGAATTTTGAATTCCTCTATATATTAATACAAATAGAAATACAAATAGATACTAAACAACTGTTAATTACCATAGTTATTTCCAGATTTTTATGATTGTGCATCATAACGCCATGTTTGTTAGACTGTTCATTCTTAGGAAACAGAGAGAAACGGTTGTTTGACACAGGCCCTGCTTCATTTTGTCATGTAAAATTCATGAACTTTATTTTGAACATGTGGTTCAACAGTTGTCAGAGAAAAAATTGAAGGTTTTACTGTTCCTTAAATAGACAAGCACAAAGAGCTCATCAGTGTAAATTAGTTGTAGATCCCAAATCAAGTGTTCGTGAATTAGTGAATACTAGCCTATAATGTTCCATACTCAACTCTGGTGTTCTAGAAACATTTTTGGTGCATGATGACATTTAAATTTGCTTCTTCCACAGCATTTTTCAGAATGAATTATTCTTAATCACCATCATGAGATGGTCTAGCATGGTCTAGTGGGGGTTGCTGCGACTAGATGATCTTTAAGGTCCCTTCCAATTCCTTAACATTCTATGATTACAGATGGAAACTGCTATCACTACTTATGATTTGACCGCTACATTACCATCACCCAGGTCTGACTGAATCCTGCTTCTACTTGTCTGTTCCCCATTACTGCTCCTTTCCCCTTGCCCATCTGTGAGTGAGGGAGTAAGGTCTCTTCTCTCCCTTTTTTTTTTTTTTTTTTTTAATTGGGGGCCAGGGGTTGCATGCTGCTTAAGAGCCTTTAAAAAATTTCACTGACAGCTCAAAAAAACAGCTAGAAGATACACTAGTAAAGGGCAGTTCACTCCACTCCTGCATTTCAGGGAAGATGGGTGCCATCCCTCTGAGGGGAAGGCAGACTCTGGTGAAGTCTATGGATAATTTTGCTGCCAGCATCTAACAAATGTTTGTGGAATATACTGAAAATAGATATAATTTTAGATGTTTGAAAATTGGCTAACTTTGGGTACATATTACTGGAAGGACCGAAAGCAGAGTGGCATTTGTGATAAATTTAAAATTCAAATCTTCAATGATAAAGTCATAAAGTATTTTTTTAGCCTGAGAAAAACAACATATTCATTCTCTAACGTTGCCTCATGATTTTTCTGAAACCTCTCCCAAAATTTCAGTCTGAGGTACACATTCAGTTTAAAAACTCTGGATCTGAAAAGTTAAATTTCAGCAAGATTATCAGATGACCAATAAATAACAGGATTTTACTAACTTTTGAACAATTTCCTCACATACCCTTATCATCTCCATGTATATTTAAATATATATGCAAAAATAAAAAACTGTGTTTCTTATGAAAATGCTTTTAGGAGTTGAAAGAAGATACACAATTTCAGATATTCACATGTAAAGCCTGATGTAAGAAATTATTTTGAACTGAACTAAGGTTTTTCTACTCCATTCAATGGTCACATTTCAACAGATTCGAAACATTAGCCTACAATACTGTAAAACACAAAGATGCTTAATAGGAATTTTCATGAAAATGGCAACTCCTTAAAAAATACTGGCTGTTGAGATACACATGCAAAAAGACTCGATAAACCAAAGGACAGCACAAACTGTGGAAAAGACTTAACAGTGTAACCTTAGTTGTTTAACCAGGAAAGTTAGAGATAGGATTTAAGTTGTGGGGGTTTTTAAATTTGGAGAAATAGCTTATAAATGGAAAAGCTGTGGCTAGAATAACTGAAATCAAAATGTCAGGAATCCAAGTCTGTTGAAAATCAAGACAGTAGCTTGAAGGAGAAAAAGGTTCAGACAAATTTTATTTTGTAAGAATTTTACATTCTCAAAATAATTTTCTTTCAGAAAACAATGTCAAATGTGTCCTTTCCCAGCAATTGGTGAATTTTTTTTTCATTCTTTTATAGTATTGTTTTAAAGCTACCTGTCTTAAAAGCCTTAGCAAACATTTCTTACCTGTGTCCCAACAGTCTCCTGAAAGCAGCGCCCAAGTTGAGTTTTAACTGAAACAGGAAACATATGAGGAATGGGTTGTTGATTTGTGTAAGTTGTATGTCCTTTCTGGGTCTTCTGATATGGAAGACCTTGGTAAGAGACCTGTGGATGTACTGGCTGAGGTACTTTCGCTTTTTGTCCTGTTGATGTGCTGTCAATTCTTGAAACTTGATGGATCTGAACTGAGGCTTCAGGGGGATGTTTCACATGGATATTCACTATGTTAGGAGGGAACTTCACTAAAATAATTGAAGGAAAAACATATAAAAAAATTGGTAATAAAGTACGTGAAAAATATTTCTTAGGCACCTCTAAGACATTTCTTTTTTTGTATATCAGAATTTTTACAGAGTGCCTCAAAGTAACTGAAATATAAATGAAGTCCAAATTTGGGGGTTAGAGGGAAGGCCAAAAGAATGCATAGAGCCTCACTAACAAAGTAAAAAAATGAAAACTCTTCACATAGGAAAGAACAACATTATAAGATTGTAAAGACTGCTACATAAACATGGATATCCAAATTGGCTGGTATGACATTAATATTTGTGGTCATACTGTGTAATAAGAATCCCATTCAAAGTTCCAGAATTCAAACTCTACTGGGTTATTTTTGGATATATAGTAAGCTTTATTTTCTTTTTCAGATCCATCATCTTTCTCTGGAACACAGAAGAAGCTTCAGATTTCAACCCTTCACCTTTATATACCTGCCAAGTCCCAAGATTGCCTCTGCAAGAGTTGCCAGCATCTGAACCATCTAAAATCACCACTCCCTTTGTTGAACTTTGAATTCAGGGTTTGGCAGATAAAAATGGAGAAAATGATTTTCAGATACTTCCGTTTTCAAATACGGTTGTAGTTTTAAGTCTGGGTATGTAGACTGAGACCCTCCAGTCAATGTAATTAGCACAGAAGTGCTTATGACCCTCAGGCCTCTTTTCACAGGAGCACAAAATGCCCTTTAAAGACGTGATTCAAATTATTACTGGAGTGGGCAGGGAGAAGAGGTGTGTAAGAAGTTTTATAGTTTGTAAGCTGCATAACAAAGTGTGCATTTCCCAGGTCTGGCTCGATCTCCCATGTCATACATTTTGATGTATGAAGAGAAATCCCTTCAACTAGTTTCTCTAGCTGCTAAATTTAAAAAATATCTTAGTCCTCAAAAGAAATCACTAATTGCTCTACTTGAATCTATCAATCAACCAGAGATGTTCAGATGCTGAAAACATCAAATTTCGGCTGGGTCCTCTCATGCAGTATCATTATCACAGTCCTCTCCAGGTCTTGGATCACTGCCTAGATGTGCTGATTTTTATTTCTGCCAGCCATTTCAGGATTAATTGTTTTATTATTTCCTTTAAAGAAATGAAATATTCCTCTCTCAACAATCCAACATTCTCATTTGTGCATAGAAAGAGAAGAAAAGGCATTGTGACTGCTAATGGTTCCTATGAGGACTTGAAGGTCAGGAAAAAACTATTCAAGAGATTGGACTCTTTAGCAATGAGAAACCTATTGTGCTTTTTAAGAGAGGAACTTTAGATCTGAAAAACAGCCACGTCTCAAAAATTTGGATTTTATGGCTCACCCTATTGTCTAAAATTATTTCATCTGTATTTACATAGGCACTGCTCTGCTAAATGTTTAGGTAATTATAGTCTCTTCTTCTGACCGAGCAGATACTTAAAAGTACTTGTAAAATATTGTGTTTCCAGGATACTGTCAACACTCCCTTCACAGCTATGTCACTTTCTGAAAACAGAATTACTACATTAGATTATATTTATCATTAACATATAAATAGTTTGGCTTGTTTTAGCAAAGTTATTCAGGAACTAGTTGCCAGCAACTGAGCCTTCTCACCTCTTTACCTATTTATTTTGCTTTTATTCAGAGGTACCAACCTTGGAGAGTTAATTACTCTTGACCAAAAAAAAAAAAAAAATCAAGCTGACTATTCAGACAAACAAACAAAATTCACATTAATCCATATGTTGTGAATCTGAGTTTCAGGGGTTGCTCCATATAGACAGGATCCCACCCAGGTAAAATGCTACCTGGTGTCATAAGACACACAAGAGACAAATTCAACACTTCTCTTCAAAGTCATCAGAACTTGTCACCTCACCAAAAAAGTACTAAGGAAAACAGAATCTGAACCTGAATGAACTTTTTTGGGGCAATATTTGATTAGCATGACAGATTTCCTTGTTTCTTATCTTCTGCCTTCTTCACAGCATTAGAAGTATGAAAACCTTACCCTTTTTTAAAATTTTTTTTTCTTTGACCTGGAAAGAATGTTCTATTTAACTGAACCATAGCAAGGCCTATCTACACTAAAAAGTTCATCATAAAATTAATTTATAGGACTCTACCAAATTATGTAAGATTAACATGGATGATATGTTTAGTTTTACATTAGATTTAAATTTCTATTATATTGAAAAGCATTGTTTCTTCCCTCCATTAGTAACTATGGAATGACCTACAACTCTCTGTCTAGCTATACTGCAATTTATGGACTCTGTTCAGCCACAAACGTTATCTTTTTGAACAGGTCTACACTTCTGGAAGAAACCCCCTGCATTATTCCTTGACTCTGCAATCTGTACTAAATTGTACCATAAGGTAAAGTAAATTTACTTAAAAACTCTTTTCAATATCACTATTATTTCTTACTACTTCAGTCATTGAGCAAAACATGTTCCGGCCATTCTGGTGAGATCATGATTTAAGTTGTGGCGTCAATCATACAATACATGTGGTGTCAATATCAATACACGTAGGTATATTACTACTGTTACTGGCTGAATACCCAAAATTAGTTAAAGGAAAAAATATTTATCAAGAAAGAAGTTACCTTTTACACCTTGTTGTCCAGACATCGTCAGTGGTAAAGTATGAGTAGAATGGATAACTTGTGATCCTACAGCCTTGTTCACCTGTTGGGGGTTATGGTAGTGTTTCGGAGAACTGGCAGTCTGCACAGGGATCTGACAAAGTTTACCAGTGTAATTAGGAGGGCACTGGCATTTATCTCTAGAACTACACTGGCCTCCATTCATGCATGGAAGATGGCAAATCACTGAAATGAAAGCAGAAAGAAAAATTTTGTTAATGAGTAACTTTAGTATTATCTGACCAAATATCACACAAAAGCTGAGGAGGAAAGGAATGGGGCTGGAGGCCTTTGTTCTTCTGACATCTGAGGAATGACTGTCCATCTTTTAATTGCCTTGTGGTAGAACCACTTCCCTTCCCCTCCTTGAGACTTCTATCTGGTTCTCACCTTCCTTCCACGACAAACCCTCCTTTTGAACCCTGCCTTGAATGCCTTGTTCGCATCTTCTTTGCATGTCAAGGAACATTCTTCCCTTAGCTATCCCAGCTATTTTATGTCATTATGCTATTAAGCAAGACACTAATTATTATTCACTTCTTATTCACACTTCAGTACAGCTACTCTTACTTTGTCAGCCTCCCATTTCTGAAAGTCCTGGACCACTTTCATTTCCCTGGAAGACTGGGGAAAAACTCAGAGTCTAGACAGTAGTGGGGACAAATCTTCCATTTTCACTTTAAGCCTTGGTTGTTCTTTACAAAACTCTTTATCTGAATTTTTGTTTAACATTCCTCACTCAGATAAAAGACATTAATTTGCATCTACCCATGAAGATCATAAAAATATCAAGAGAGTCTACTCAAATGATTAAAAAAAAAAAAAAATCCAAAGTATTAAAATATAGAGACTCCAATATAAAGACAAGGGTAATTACTGCTATGCCAGCTAAGCACTTGCACATCTACACAAATCTAAATTATGAGATGAAACATGAAAAATGTCAACATCAAATGAAAGCTACTTCTTAACTAAGAGATACAAACAGTAATAGGCATGGTTCAGTACTTTCTAAAAATATGATGTAGGACTGTAATGAATCACAATCTAGCTGAGCTGTCAGCATTTTCAAGAAATGATGTGAAAACAACAGGAAAAATACCATAAGTAAGGTCATTTTTTCAGAAACCAAATATAATTTGAGAAATAACATATAGTATTCATCTGTCAGACTTAAGATAAATTCTGAGTTTTGAAAATAAATTAATTAAAATATTTACAGTAATCATGGAATTCTGCTGGGTTGGTACTGCTTGGTCTATAATGAATTATGACAAAAATGAGAAACTGTAGATAATGCAATGTAATTAAGAACCCAGTGCTCATTATTCCAAGTGCTGTAACCTCTGGATAACCACAGACTATTACTAGTACGAATACCATAGAAGGTAAGTATCAGAAAAGGAACCTGTGTGTTGAGTGTCACAAGAAGACAAAGAAGACACTCAGCAGCCCATGGAGTTCCAACCTAGTTGCGTAATTCCCTTGGCCCAGGAAGAGTGGTCAAGAAACAGCACAATCAACCTGGCCCATCACAGACAGTGTCTGATTGCCAGATAGGGCCACGAACAAATGTAAACAGTCAGAATTATTTTTCCAATGTGCTCTGTAAATGTATATTTAATATTTTTCTTCTCTTATCTCATATTTTAAATTCATATAAACTGACGGAAAGTACTTCAAGCTGCAGGACTGTGCTAGCAGGCCTAGTTGATGCTGGAAGGCTGTCCATGCCAGCGCAAGCCTCGCTTTTTTGGGTCCCAATCCATGTTGGGACTTTATCTAAGTATATAAAAGATGTCCTCACATAACTGCTGTTACTTCAGGACAAAATGAAGGGGGTCAACCCCAGAAGTAACTAAAGCATGACAGCTATCTCTCTCTCTCTCTGGTACCATTTCTTTCTGAGCAGCCACAAACAAGGGGGTGCACTGTAGTGAAGACAATACAAAAAGAATTTCAGTACTTTTAAAGATGTGCCTGAGCAAGGTTGAACACTAAGGTGTTTTTTATGCAAAAGTAACACCACATAATGAAACAGTGCACAATAAGGGGGGAACAGTTTGGTGTTTGAATGAAGTACAGTAAAACAAAGGCAAACAGAAATAGTGTCACTGTGGAATTCATTGAGTGCAAGAAGTCTAACCCATAGATTTTCTTCCCACACTTTCCAGCCTCAAGGCAATAAGAACATGCAAAATGCACCTTTTAAGCAATATAAATATACCCAGTTTTTCTACCAAAAATACATTAGTTTCTTCTGACCTCCTGTTCCTATAAAGCAGTTGGTATCTAGAAGGCCAATTTGTGTGGGTATCTCTGCATTACAGGGCACTCTTCAGGCATTCATCTTCTGCAGGAGTCCACTGGGTACTGAATGAATGGACATGTGAAAAGCTTTGCTTAAGGCAAAAAGTTTGTGCTAAAAGTACTGAGAAGGAAGATGCCAATAGAAAAGAGTGTATTCATTCCCTTTTCATAACTGGCAAACAGTTGTGTGGGTATTCACACAAATAACTTGTGCAAATAAGTGCAAACAAATGACTCTAAAAGATTTAGTATGAGGTAAGTATTAAAGAATTTTTAATGCCTCAATATTTACACATAACAGGAAATACAAATTCCAAGCTGCCCACATTAACATGTGGTGCAAATCACTCAGTCAACTGATACTGATTTACATATCTTGAAGGTCTGGCCTGTACGAGGAATGAACTTGCAAAGAGAATACATGAAACCTATTCTGAGAATATAAAATTCTGTAATAAAAATTTTAAACTCTGAAATATACCATTTTAAGTTAAATTCAGCCATGTAGAAACAAATAGGATGTAACCTCCAGGCTGAACTCAAAACTTGACAATTTCAAATGGCAAATATTACAAGAACATTTAAAAAAAAAGCTAACCAAAACACACACAGCCCCGTAAACAAGCAAACACTATCCACACTGAAATAAAATTTCTGCTAATAATAAGTCGGTGTAAGCAGAACACACACTTCTTGTGTTATTTTTTTCAAGTAGTTTATGGCCAGGAGAAGGACTACATACTGGTGCTGGAAACCACAGGCACACAACCTCACCAGAACTGGAATTACACACAGACCATTTGAGAAAAGTGAGCTGGAGGAGGGTAAGCCTCTGAAAAGGCAAAGGAAGAAAACTCTACTTTTGCTTGACAAGCCTCTGGGAACCTCAGTTTAGTAAAGACCAAGGAGCCCTGGGAAAAGGACCATTTAAGACAGGAACAGGATATAAAGCCAGGGTATGTCTGAACAGCTCAACCTCTGATGCAAGATTTTGCTTTGTTTTTTCTTGTCATTGAGGTTAAAGAACTTAAACAGAATGGTAGAATACTGCCAGAGGCATAGGGGACATTCCCAAAAATAAAACCAGACCCATGTGCTGGGAGAGACCATTAAAAGATGTAGGGTTTGCACATATGTTCACAACTGGTATTCAGACAAAGTGCATTGGTTCTCACTTGGCTGTTGCCATTTCCTCTGAAAAGGAAAAAAAGAGGAAATAAAAATACCCATTATGGTGTAAAACACTCTAGCTGCTTAGAGCCTGGTAAAAATGTTAAAATAAGTCACATAAGATGAGAATAAATATTAGGTCACATGTGGATATCTTACAGACAAAGCAAAGAAAGTATTAATGGACCTAAGAAAGGCAACAAATTCCTCATTTGGATCTGCTGTAATTTAAGTCTCCCAATGGTCTCTTAAGGAGTAGCCAACATTTGATTGAACAAAATTATTTTTTTCCATAAATAAACATACCTCCTTTAGAAACGTGGAGACAGGTTTAAATAAATACAAACATTTTAAGTATTCTTCCCATTATTGGGAATTTAATTGGCAAGCTTTGATTTCTCTGGCATCCAAAAGCCTTAGCTCTTTTCAGTCTGGCACAGCTTGGTGGGTATCGCTGTTTGAAATGAGCCAAGTAGAGAAGGTGCATCAAGAAGCCCTCACAGGGAGTCTCGGAAAGGCTCAAGGCAGAGAAAAAGAACACTTGCAAGATGAATCCCAGTAAAGCTGCCACAGCTACAGGTTGGAAACACAAGAACAGGGCATGAAATCAACAAAGCAGCTAAGAAACCACTGATACACAGTTTGTCCACATAATTAGATAATCTAATTTGTTTTCAATACTTAAACAACCTTGAACAGCTCCAGATAAATTAATTTAATCAAGTCCAAATGTTTTCATTTAATCAAAACAATGTGTAACAAAACAAGTTCCAAGCACCCAAATCCTCCTAATTCTTCATAAATAGCCCATGCTTACCCAAACAATCCCTTAGGATGGATGGAAACTCCCTTCTTGTAACAGTGTTTGAGAAAGTTAAGAAAGCGTTTTGAAATGTTCCTCATCTGACTCTCCAAATTCCTTTTTTTTTTTTTTAAACACCTCAGGGAACACAAGAGTTTCTGTCCCACTTTCCCTCACCACTCTTTTTGCCTTTTCTACTTACATACTATCAACTATTCAAGTGTAAGCACTATTCACAATTACGTCAACAGGCTCTCCAAGGACAACCCTGAACTGCTCATTTATATTACAGTATTTCCACTGGACGCATCACAAAGAGCAGATTAATTTTGTCTCTGAGTACTACAGTCATCCAGCATTACTACATGCCCCACAGCTGTTTGGGCATCTTTTGTCCATGCTGTTACTTAGTACACAGAAAGTGCAGTGACGAGTACACAGTTCTACCCAACACAAATCATGACAGGAAAGCAGGGATGGCATTCACTGAGGGGAAGCAACATTCTTGTAAATGCAGCGCTTCTAAACACCACAAATTTTAGGTAAAAGTTGAAAACCAGAGGTGCTACACATAGGTCCGTGCAATCACTCTAAACTTAGTTCTTTCAAATTGCAGAAACTTGAACAAAACTCACAAAAGGCACAGAGGCATGAAACTACACTAATGATGGTATCCTCAAGTTTAGACTCTTCCCTACATCTCACCTGTTGTCCCTCAGCTTTCTAACTAATTCATCTTAAATCATTTTCTCTTCAGATTCTTGGTTGTAATTCAGAAGTGTTATGTAAAGATGTGGCAAATTAAAAAAAAAAACACACATTATTTCTTTTTAGTAACATTAAGATAATTTCGATATTACCAACTTGTGCTTAGGGAAGCAAAGGGAAAAAGAAATCTTTAAGT